CAGCTCTTTCCTCTACTTCCCTTGATTTTCCTCCTGTCACACTCTCTCTGCAGGTCTCTCTCTCTCTCCAGGTATATTACACACATGCACACACACTGCAGGTGTACTGCACATGCAATCTGAAGAGCAGATCCCTAGGGTACATGGGGGGAGGGGAGAAGGGGGCGCCCTTCCCAGTGCAGGACTTCTAAGCCCCCAGGGATGCACCACCCTCTAGAACCAGGGTTCACAACACTGCCTCGTGACTGGAACCACCTGGCTCCCCCCCTTGGAGATTCTGGCTCATCAGGGAGCAAGTAGCGCAGGGAGCTGTAGTTTCCCCACACCCCCAGGTGAGTCCAGTGATCAGCCAGGTTTGGGAACCTGGGAACTAGGGCAAAGGTTCCCAAAAACTCCTTTTCGGGGGTAAAAATGACTCCGTGCCCTCCCTGGTAATTAAAAACATTCATACTATAACCCCTAATCCAGGATAGGGAGTAGTTACCTGCTTCTGCAGTGCACACACGCAAGCACACACACATCCAGACATAGCTAAGATACCCCTCTGTCCCCCATTTAGGACTACCACCTCTGAAGGCAGCATTTCCATCTCTCTAGCCCTCCCACTGACCCCTCCTCCCTCATCAAAATATCAGTATGAGCCTCCTCCAGACTCCAACCGTGTTCCCCCGAGATGAGTTTGGGGACAAAATCGAGTCTAAAGGAGGAGTGGAGATGAGGTGAAGCTTCCCACCAACATGCCCTGGGCAACCGGGCTGCCCTTGGAGGGAGGGAGTGGGACAGCGTGACAGTGTCTTTGGCAGAGCGAGACAGCGAGATCACCCGTGCATGGGTGAACGACTGAGTGAAAGAAAGGGACTGAATGAGAGTCAGACAGAATGACAGAGGGCACATGCCTGCGTGACTGACTCAGGGTGGGTGGGTGAGTGAGTGGGTGAGTGGGTGGGTGAGTGAGTGAGTGAGTGAGTGAGTGAGTGAGTGAGTGAGTGAGTGAGTGAGTGAGTGAGTGAAGGTGAGCATGACAGATGCATTCTTGGCCTGGACGAAGCCCTCAGACCCTGTGAAGGGCTGGAGTGTGTGGCAGGGTGCGGTCCCACCCATGTGGGGCACGGTAGGGAAGATGAGGAGCGGGACTGGGGAGAGGCCAGCCATGGAGGCAGCACTGCTTCGGGGAGCCCACTAGCCCCACACTCTCATAAATCAGGTGAGCCAAAGAGGAAGCGGGTAGGATGGAAAGGAGAAGTCAGAGAACTGGCCAGAATTTGGTGAACCATCTCCACAATTTTTTTTTATGTGTGGGCTATTTCCCCATATTTCAGGCATACTCAAATATGGGCCATACAGCCTACTTCCGGTTGTTCAGAAACTGGCCTATTGAAGGGCAGTTGTGTTCGCCTTCTCAGTTACAATGAAGACACAATACTTCACGACTGGGGAATCAGGGTCACAGCACAGTTTGCAGGTTTTTTCAGGAGAGACCAGACCCTGAAGAATGACATCAGGCTTGGTGAAAACGACCACCCTCACCGAGCTGGATGGAGAGTGTGGCTGCACAAATGGCACCAACCTAACAACAACTGTGAGGGCTGCAGGGCCGGCGGTGCTCCCGTCTGGGGACCACAGGGAGGACTGGGTGGCACTAACAGTCACCACAGCAGGGCCTCGGATGCAGGGTCCCACCAGCAGTGGGAGAGAGAACATTCGCGGTGTTTGCCAAGATTCACAGCAGTCTTCTCTGACAACTGGACCATCTGACGCATAGGGAGGGTGCCTGTGTAAGTTGGAATTTGAAAGGTTTGGGGACATCAGCATACAGTGACCCTCTGTACATGCCGGACTGAAACCAAAGGAAGTGACTTCCCCGAGCTACTCAAGGTGCCCTTTGCACAGTCTGTCCAAAGTGGGCTCAAACACTTCAAGTAACCTCCAGGTGGGCCTTTCTGCCAAATGCTGTGGCCGCGGGTATCAGGATGGGAAATGGGCCTCCCTCTGACCTACAGCTCATTAGGACATCGCAGCAGTAGAAAGAGAAGCTGAGCTGGATGTGTTTCTACAGTTACAGAGAAACCAGGACATAACTAGCACAGTCGTAGAGCCTGTCGGAGGAATTCTGGTCCATGGGCCACAGGGTGGTGGTGGGTGCCATCGAGTTGGTTCTGAGCCACCACGACCCTAATGCAACAGCGCGCGCACAGCCGGCCCAGAGGGGCGTGTGGCCCCGAGGCACTGTCTTATCTGGCATGGCAAGGGCACACCTGTGTGAACCTGGGAGGAGGGGAGGCGAGAAGCAAGAACAGGGAGGGTGGGAGACAAGGGCAGACACCTGGGGGTTTGCAGATTTAAAGACAGGCAGTCTCTGCGCCCTCCCCAACTCCCCGCAGGGCGGGGCAGCCACTTCCCTGCTCGCCTGCCTCCTTTGTGAAAGACCAAGAAGAAACTGCTGTCTGTACCACTGACAGGGTGGTTAGGAATCTCGTCTCTTCACTCTCTCCTGGGCCTGAAGCTGCTGCTCTCAAAGGGCCTGGTCTCAGGCGGCACTGTGGAAATCTCAGCCATCTTAAGCAAAAAAAAAAAAAACGTTTTTGAGTATTTCTATTTTTATCCTGAAATTCTGATTCCTTACAGCTGGAGTACACCAAGCACCCACCTGGCCGGCCGCGAGTTCTCCCTCCAGTCTGCAGGTGGCAGTGTGCTATCTTTTGCTCCCCCTCCTCTTGGGGAGGGTTCTGAGCGGAGGGGGAGATGTGCATCCTGCAGCTTCTTGGCTCAAATGGACCCTGCTTTGACGTGGTCTTGTTTGGGAGAGAAACCAACAGGGCAACTGTTTTGATACCGAAAATTAACAAGTGTCTTTTTGAAATAGAGAACCAGTCCCTCTGAAAATAAAAGAAAGAGGCAAATATTGTTCTACCCACAGTCCTACAGAAGTGGGGTCTACTCGAGAGCAGACAGGTCAGTAGGTATGGGAAGGAGCGTGGGAGTACATCCACAAAGGCACACAGGTTTGAAAAGGATATTTTCACATGTGTGCATTTACTTCTGTTGCAACCATACCATGTATATACTCGAGTTTAAGCCTACCTACCCAAATGTCAGCCGAGGCATCTAATTTTACCACAAAAACTGCATTAAAAATGTGCTGAGAAACTCGGCTCATACACGAGTATATGCGGTACCCATGAATATGGCACAGCGCACAGGAGGCAAAGTGATGACGACTTCTTAGACATAACAGAAGTCCCTGAAGGACAGAGCTGCCCTTTAGACATAACAGAACTCCCTGAGGGCCTGGGGAGTCAGGATCACAGCCAGGTCAAAAGGTACCAACACAGTTCACAAAGACAAAGTGATACCTCCGACTTGGGGGAGCAGCGGCGGGGTCTTAAAAGCTGGTGACCAGCCATCCCAGGTGCAACCATTGGGCTCTCACCATCTGGAGAAAGTGAGCGATGAACATAGAAAGACAGGGAAACCGGTGGTCCAATGGGCCAAGGGACCCCACCCATCTCCCCCACCCTGGGTCCAGAAGAACTGGATTAGATGGTGCCTGGCTACCACTACCAACTGCTCTGAAAGGGCTCACATTAAAAAGCCCCAGACAGAATGAGAGAAAACGTGGAACACAACTCCGAACTGTGAAAAAGATGGGACTCCCTGGTCAGACAGGGACAGACGGCCCTCAGTCAGCCTTCAGGTGTGGACCTGAACGCAGAGAGAAGGCGTGGCCTAGAGAGCCCTGGCCCAACGACCAGAGGTTACTGGGTTAGGAGAGGAGGAAGAAAGGAAACGAGAGGGGATTGCAATGGAGGCTGTGGAATCAGAATGTGTGTCAGTTGTCACGTGGAAGACTGATACTCTGCTCTGCAAGCATTCACCTCATTTACAAAAGAAAGTTTTGAAAAGCAGCAGCGGTGGCGACAGCATGCTCTCAGCAGAGGAGGAAGAAGGAAGTCATGACGAGCTCCCACAAGAAGCAACTCGATGATGCTCACAGGCAAGATCGGGAATGCCATCAAAGGGAGTGGGAGTCAGTCAGCTAGCCTTAGCTCCAGCTGCAGCTAAGACCAGCTGGGTTGCCCAAAGGAGCCCGGGTCCCGCAGTGGATTTTGCCAGTGGGTTATACCCACAAGGTCAACAGTCAAGCCCACCAGCTGCTCAGCAGGAAAAGATGAGGCTTTCTGTTCCTGTAGAGATGACAGCCTACTGTGTGTCACATCGGAAGCGATGCGAAACGGGGAGTTCAGCTTTGGGATCGCTTACTAGCAATAAGGCCTCTTTCCACACCACAATCTCCCTGTTTGTTCATTAGGTGAAATAAGCTATCCGTGTTGCAAAGACCTACCATGACAGCCAATATCAGCTGCCCACTGCACTGTCTCTCCATCAGTGGGCAGGCCAGCCAACCGTGGAATGCTGTGGAGCTGCAGAAGTCATAGCCGGCCGCAGGGACTGAGAAGGCGGCAATGCGCTGTGCTAGAGGAGGGGGTCTATCCAGAGAAAGAGAAGGTGGAGAGAACAGGGCAATGGAGAGTCCTATGACTAAGTGGATTCCGACACACAGTGGCCCTGGAAGACAGAGAAGAAAACCCCGTGGGCTTTGAGACTAGCTCTTTGCAGGAGCAGCCGGCCTCACCTTTGTCCCAGGGAGCAGCTGGTGGATTCCACAGCTGGCCCTGAGGTGAGCGGCTCAAGGTGGAGCCCATCCAGCCACCAGGGCTCCTGGCTGAGTCTCAGACATTGCAAATATGCAGCCTTTGTAGAACCTGGGTCAATACACACAGCTATCTGAGACGAGAAACCTCTGGGCCTTCTACTCTGCAGATAGTTCGAAAGAGTAAGTGTCCCCGGCACCGGGGACCCGAGGAGAGGAAAAGAGTGAAGGGACTTGAGTCAGCAGCCCTAAGCATGCCTTGGTCAGAGCTCTGGGCTCGCCAAGGATGGCCAATTGCAGACGGTCTCAACAAAATCCTGGCGCCACCAAACCAGACACAGGAGAACGGGTGGGAAGGAAAGCAGAGATCGCCATAGAAGTCATTCTAAGGGTCTCCAATGGGGAGCTCCCAAACAGTGCCGGGGCCAGGCGGCTATGGGTGAGGAAGCGTGTCTGCCCCACGCGCAGTGGAAACAGAGCGTGTTGTTGGGTCTCTAATGAGCAGTTCTTCACTTGGGGTTCTGGAGACACGCTCTGTCTGCATCACTGCCTGGGGGCGGGGTTTGGTGGGCAGGCCCTCTTCCAACACCAATCCAGTAATAAAGGGCTCCTGAGAGCAGGCCGAGGCAAGTGGGCATTGCGAGAACAAGTCAGACAGAAACTCTCAAGGCAGGCCCTTCTGGTGCTGCCCTGCAGCCCTCCTTCTGGTTGCTCATCTGGCTCTCAAAAGTTGAAAAGGGCCAAGCTGCTGGGTCAAGAAGCGGCAGAAAGAAAGGCATTTCAACGTCACTATCCAAGCCACGGTACAGGATGGAAAAGTACCAACCTTACAAATACGGCCATTCTGCAAAACTGGCAGTGCCGGTCCGGAAAATGGTGGGTGCCTGCTATCCTCCTGAGGCCAGGAACCAAGCCACAGAGCAGGGAAGGGCAGTCCCTCTCTAACCAACTCCAGCTCCCGCTGGCTCCACTGCCCAGCACAGCACACCCTGCAAGTCACCTAGCTACTTGAAAGACGATTCTTCACCCAAGAGTTACAGTTTCTCTACCCCACAAAGCATTAGTTATGCACGCACTTAAGGCAGCAGGTGGCACAAGGTGACCAGCTAAGAGGCACACTAACGAACCAACCCTGCCTTCGAGTTGACTCAGACTCAGAGTCAAACTGCCCCCTGTGAATTTCCTGAGGCTGTAACTTTTTACACGCGCAGACAGCCTCATTTTCTCCCTGGGAGCAGCTGGTGGGTTCAAGAACTACTGATCTGGAAATTTGCAGCTCACCGAAAGAGTTTTTGGGTGTGTGGTGTACAACTGCTGTGTATACATTATTTTTCTTACACAACAGAAAGACCCAATGCCCATGAGTTAGTTCTTAGTTACAATGAACCTTCAGGCCAGAGCAGAACTGCCCCTGTGGGTTTCTGACATCTGTTAAGGGAGCACTCTCTTCCTTCTCCCTCAGAGAGAAGGGTGCGTTTGAACAACCGACCTGTGGTGATCGACTCAGTGCATCACCCACACCACCACCAAGGCTCCTTGACCACGGCCAGAGGACTTGCTGGTGCAGCCTTTACTCTGCAGAGAGCAGGGCTGCACAGAGAGAGCAACGGGGACCAGATGGGTGTTTTCCAACCTGTCAACAAGAGACTAACAACACGAGGCACTTTAGGGCTGTGGGATGTGGGCGGTTACTAAACTGAGCTAATGAAGTGTTCCTCAGGTCCTTAAGTAAAAGTAACTATTTGAAGCATAAGAAAGAATCACAGGTGAAACATTGAACACAGATGACACCAGTCTAATCTCCATGTCTGTACGCAAACCTAGTAACTCAGTTACCCTGTCTAAAGATAAAGCCTAACACTCTAGTGTACATTCTTACCTGCATAGAAAGGTGTGTAAGATGAGCTCAAAAGAGGTGTTTCTGGACAGGCCTCTGGGTGCAGAGGGCCCATCTGGGAGCACCCACCCACACCCACACACACACGCCCATGATGCATCTGCATGTTCCAGAATTCCAGTCCCCACATCCCATGGCGGTGCCAGGTCCACTTTCAGCTATTCTGAGAACGTTGGGTTACAATTTACTCTCATTCTCTTCTTATTAAACCTAAAAGAGAGTTGGAGCCCTGAGTAAAATCCCTCCCCAACTGACCTCTCCGGCAAGACCGAGTCAGCAAAGCAGCCTCGCCCACGAGGCTGGAAGTGCATGGCTCTGCTTTCCACTCTCACGAGTGAGGACCCAGACCAGAATCCCAGTGGTGGCAAACACCCCCTTTTGCAATACTTTTGGGGACCCCGTGCCCAGGGCAACAGCAGCATTGCTGTACTATCTACAGTGAATGCAACAAAAGATTGGAAAACCCATTTGATACACCAGCAAGGCTGGTGGCCGAAACAAATTCAAACTTTCTACTTGTTACAGACTCTCCAATGTTTGTGGTGTGTACAGGGGGAAGGGCAGGCTTTGGCCAGAACTGTATTTAAAACACCAATTTACACTCGGAGTTTGAAAAGAGTGACATTTTACTTCTGACTAAATGGAACTTCTCCTTAACACAACTATCTATGTTATACAATCATCACTTCTTAAAAGAACAGAATCACTAGACTCCAAATTCAACTTGAACATCCTCTGCACGGTTTGGAAGCCACTTCTTCAGGAGCTGGCCGGGAGTTGTCAGAATTCATTCTCGCCCCTCAGTTCGTGCTGGGCCAGGCAGAATGAACAACTACACTGTCTCTACAGGGACCTGAGACGGCACATTACTGGATTTGATCTTTGTCTGTTTGTATACCATTTTCATTTTAGAATAAAAACATTCAAGAGGGAAACATGTGGAGCTTCCTGTTGCTCAGATTTCAAATAAACGGGGCTTCCTGGAAGAAGGCCCGAGAGCTCTGGAGCTGGGGCACGCCTAAACCCAACTGGGACAGACCCTGGAGGGAAAAATGACTTGAATGCACTCCCATGAGAGGAGGAGCCAGCGGCCAACACACCCTGGTGATTCGTGGATTAATGGGCCGCTGACCTCGCTCTGGCTGAAAAGAACAACACTGGTCCCCTACGTGGCAGGCAGCGGTCAAGGCTGAATCCTTGGTCCCCACCACCCCACAGACACAGGGTGCAAGCCAAAACGGCTTTCCAAAAACATCTAATGAAAACGTGTTACCTGTGCATTGTTCTCTGTGACTCTGTTCCACCAAACCATGTTGATGGGTACTCCTGATTGACAGCTGTCAGCCAGGCAGCCAAAAGTGTTCTTTGCTTTCCGTGCCTTTGACGCCATCGGAACTAGCCCCTCCTCCAGCATGCCCAGGCGGTACTTCCTTGGCTACGAAAAAGAAGGAGAGAGACCAGGCCACCCTAACATCCCTCCCTCTCCCACGCTATCTGAGCTAAAGGCAGCACTAACAGGGGTGGTGGGCTAGGAGACAGGGGACCCCTCTCAGACAGGGCCCCAACAGCTCAGCTCCTTCCCTCCCCCGCCCCTTCCCCCCTCTCCCCTCCCCTAGTCACCATTAGCCTACCAGGCTGAGCCACAATAGGCTACAAATGCTGTACAGAAACACACCGTGGGCTGATTTGACAGACTTGAGGGGAAGGATCTGAAATAGAGTAAAAGCTTTGCACACGTTCTTCCGTGGCACTTACCCAGTCTCACTGCAATGGGCAGAAATGTCTTCAGAGGCTCAAAAAGGCGGGTATATAAACAGAACAAAACAAAAACCTCCTCTGAGCTCCACCTTTTCCTTCTCTCCGGCATGCTACCTCACCGCCCCTGTGGCTGGCTGCCTCACGCCAGAGGAAGGACAGCCTTCAGGAAGGCGCTTTAAGGGTCTGGACCCAAGTTCATGGAAGCTATGCTCCTGCTTCATGCTGAGCATCCGAACTTGAAGTCACTCAGGGAAACCAACCACTTCAGACTTAAAATAAGTAAGTAAAACACTCAGATTTGTTGGTGTTCCAAAACAGACCACATACGCTGTCACTGAAAACAGCTACCAGCTCCTGGGCTAACCTCACCCTGAGGTCAGGAGACTACTGTCACCAGGCTGGTGGCTGCTGTGCAGAGGCCCGTGGTGGCTGCCACCAGCTCACACCGAGTCCCAGCAGACTGGCGATCCACCCTACCTCAGAGCGACAGCGTGGCTATCAATGTTCAGGGAATACTAATGCTCGGGGAGGCACCGAATTTAGATCCCGAAATAAGAGGAGTTCTCCTCTCCGTGTGCACTCATCAATTCCGTCACGAGACACAGTCCCACTGCGAGGACAAATGCCTGAAAATTAAGTTCCTTCCTATTGTAAAGACAACCAGTGGAAGGAGACGTTGAATTTCTCAGCCTGTGGAAAGTACCCTATGCAAGCTAGCCCCTCCACTCCAGAAGGGCGGGCCGGGTCACACTAGCATCAAGAAAGGCAACTCTTCTGACTGCCCACCCCCAAAGTCTAGTGGTTGGGTCAGCTTTTTAAGGTTTCCACATTTCCAGCTCTTCCACAATCTTGGACTGGTTCAATTACACCTCAAGTCCACACCAACAGCAACTGTTGTGGGGTACAGTGGGGGTGACAATTACTTGCAGCCTCATGGTCCAGGCTGTGGGGCCACATTGTAGCAAACGGGTCCAAGAATTGTAAAGCAAGCTGTTTCTGGTAGCACCACTCTTTGTTAAGAACTGAAGAGCAAAGTCACAGAAACTCAGGTAGATCCTGATAAAAAAGGCCTTTCCTCATTTACACCATACTCCAGATGATCCCAACCCCATCAGAAAAAAAAAAGGGGGGGGGGGCGTTTAACATATCACAGCTTACTCACCTGCCCCCCAAAAGCTACCTATCAAACAGAACTAACGCGAAGAATACCTACATTCCAGCTTGAAAGCAATACAGTCGTCACTGCTTACAGTGGTCTTCTCTAATTCACAGCCTTGATCCAGTCACTACGCTTAACACAATTTGCTTTCTATATGAGAACGCATTTAGACGGTGGGAACGAGGGTTTTTAAATCAACCTAATGTATTACTCTCCCTCCCCACTCGCTCTAATGATGTAATAATAGTGCTTGGTGAAAAGGGTTTTGTGAAAAGGGATTCATTACTCCTTTCCTTCAACAGCATCGACAGAAAGTCTCTCAGGTAGAAGAGATTTCCAGACACATGCCACTGTACACCTTAGAATAAACTCTCATCCAAGAGCAGAATCCTCCGAGTAATACTGGACCCCAAGACCACAGCTATCAGTATCACTGAAAATACCACCGGCAAGCACAGAAGGCCAACCAGGGCCTAAGAGACGGCAGCCACAGACCCGTGACGGGAGACAAAACGCACACACATCGATTCGCTGTACACAGTGCACAACAGCACAAAACCTCACCCGTAAGCTGACTTCCAAATTATCCAAGCTATTATTTGCTTTAAAAAAAGGACATTTTCAAAAAAAAGAAAAAGGGCATTTTCACCTAGACATTTAAACACTGACTTAGGACTATCCTAAGAACGTGGACTACACAGATGAAGTAACACCTTTCCCGTGTCACCTAGTAGGTGACGCACAAACATAACTCACTATGACATTTTTACAGAAAACTGCCTACATGGCCAAGGTGCCAATCGGGCAGACGTCACAGGACGGCGAGACCACCTACAAGGCCACTGTCAATTTCTCATGAGCTGGAACAACAAACGAGCTGCAAGTACTTGCCGGGATCTTCAAAAAGTCTACGGAAACTGTGGTTTACAGATAGCCACATAACTTTTATACCAAAATAAACATGGGCCATATTGTTATGACATGTGTGAGCAGGATCTAGTTTGAGGCACTGTCGGTGCGACAAGAATCCTGCAAAGACAGAAGCAGGAACAAATATCACATTGATCCCAAAGCTTCGATAGAATATGGTGAAATCACTGAGGCTCTACCGAGAGTGTGGGGCCTATTTGCGGACAATTCCTCCAAGAAATCAGTGTTTTACAAACAGATCATTCATTTTTAAGTAGGGACGAATGATGTTGAAGATGAAGATGAAGCCCGCAGTGGTGGACCAGACAGGCCACTTCACAGGGAACAGCTCCTTCTGCCTTGTGCCCTAATTGAAGTGTCCTGGCAACGGACATCGGGGACAACAGCCAACACCACAGACATCTCACAGAAAGA